GGGGGCCCTGAGAGCTTGGCTGCTGGAGCGTGGCAGGCTAAGAGCCCTCCAGGGCTCCGGGAGGCAGGCGGGGACGTGCATTGCCTTGGAAGAGAGCGCAGCTTGCTTGGTGTGGTGGAGGAACGGAGGAACTGCATAGCTGAAGAAGGGAGGGGGGGCGGGTTGGAAAATGATGCAGCGTGTTCGGTGGATTAGGCAGCCATGCCTGGAAGTGGCAAACTGAAAGAGACGCAGATTTGAAAGCCTAAAGGGATTACTCGGCCGTGGTGTCTGACTTCCAGCACAACAGAGGCCAGCAAACTTCACCCAGTGCTTTCTGTAGCGAGTCCAACAATCTGCATAACGCCCTGGCAAGCCTCTTAGGTTATGATTTATACATTTTTAGTAGGGTTAATAATGTTGGAAGCAGCAGGAAAAGGGTGCTGGCAAATGTGAGCAGTTCTAGCAGGAGTTGTAGAAAGGCATGTTCATCATGTCAGCACTTTGGAGGCCTGGAGAGCTCGTGATGAGAGGTTTCAGAAAAAGACTGCATAAATAGGAGAAGGGAGGCCTCTCTAAACAAATATAATGGACATGCTTAAAACATGGAGGAAGGGGAGAGCAGTCCAACTTACCGATGCTCTAGATAGTGGCGACCTTGGTCCAACTAGCAAAATTCAACCCTGAAGAACTGCCAAGTTCCAACCCCAGCTCCAAGAAACTCCTCAGGTCTGCCAGAAATGGCATGCCACAAACAGGCTGTCTTTGGGAAGCATAATCTGAGTGTCATCCCTGGTGTGTGGATTGAGCAGGAGCTGAATAACCCAGCAGCTCATCAGCTGATACCACTGTTGGTCCTTGGAAAGGACAATTCTCCCTTGAGCTGGTGACTCTTAGGCAGCCAGCACTCCCATGGGCATGGGCTGGTAGAGCTGCTCGCCCCAGGGCTGGGACAGGCATATTGTCCTGGTTTCGGCAGGGATAGGGTTAATTTCCTTCCTAGTAGCTGGTACAGTGCTGTGTTTTGGATTTAGGATGGGAACAAAATTGATAAGGCACCGATGTTTTAGTTGTTGCTAGGTAATGCTTACACTAGCCAAGGACTTTTCAGTTTTCCATGCTCTACCGACTGAGCAGGCTGGAGGTGCACAAGAAGCTGGGAGGGGGCACAGCCAAACTGGCCAAAGGGACATTCCATACCATGGGACGTCATGCTCAGTACAGAAACTGGGGGAAGCTGGCCGGGGGGGGGCCGCTGCTCGGGGACTGGCTGGGCATCGGTCGGCGGGTGGTGAGCAATTGTACTGTGCATCACTTGCTTTGTGTATTATTATTATCATATTATTATCATTATAATTTTATTTCAATTATTAAACTGTTTTTATCTCAACCCACGAGTTTTTCTCACTTGTGCTTTTCCAATTCTCTCCCCCATCCCATCGGGGGGGGCGGGAGTGAGCGAGCAGCTGCGTGGTGCTTAGTTGCCGACTGAGGTTAAACCACGACACTGGGGTAGAAGGTCCATGCTCCGGGACATCGCTGCAGCAGAGGACATCAGAATTGGCAAACTCTTCTCTGTGGTTGCTTCCAAGCCTCTGCTCATCTATCTACCTTTGCAATGATACCTGCACTACAACATCTCTGTCCCTACATAACCCCCTCCACTGCCTTCCCCCCTCTCTTTTCTTCGACTTGCTGAGAACGATGGTACCAATGACTAAACCTTAATTCTTGGGCACTCTTCAGAAAAGGTCCTACAGCGTTTAGCTATTAAAAAAACCCCTTATACTACACTTCACACCATCAGAGCATTGCACAGGCATTGAACTGTTTGTCCTCACAACACAAATTCAAGTCTGGCGAGTTTTATCATCCTACTTATGTAAGGAGGGAAACTGAGGCAGGGAATGATTGTGTTTGCCAAGTGCCAGGTGGCAAATGAATGGCGACACTTGCCATAGCAGCAGAGACTGCCTGCCTCCTCCTGACAACACCATCATTTCTTTAGACTGGACTGGGTGTGGAAGAGCTGCATCTCGTCTTTTGACTGATCCTGTTTTGTTTCTCAGCGGAATGAGCAGAAATTTTACCCAGCGAACACAGCGCGGAGCTGGAATGAGATTTGTCCCAAGTGGCAGCCCCTCACACGCCAGGTTGCGTAGGGCGGACGGTTAGCAAAACATCCATCGGCAGCTGAGCATGGGATCAGAGGGGGGAGGCCGGGAGGATGGGGAGGGGGGGACGAGGGGGCCACTTACATGGTAATGTTTCTGCACGGTTCTTTTGGATCATTATGCAGAGCTGTAGCACCAGTTGAGGGGCGCTCTCGAGGAAAGTTTCCAGGAGGCGCAACATATTTACGTCTGCATATTCGTACATCATAGCCCAGTAGAAACGCCGCTGGTGTTCCTTCCGCCTCTGGCTCTGGATCCCTAGGTACATAGTTCGGATATACCTGCAGGAAACAGGAGGAAAAGCTGAGTGTGAGACTTCGGCATGCATCAAAACCTGAGGAGGATGGGGCTGTGGGCCAGTTGTCTGGGGAAAGGGAGGTTGTCTGGGAGAAAGAGAATCTGGGGTAGACACAGGTGTCTACACAGCTCTAAAACTATCTCCTGCAAGACCTGAAGACCATTTTTGTATTGCAAGAGTAGGAAACCTTTGACTTGCACCACCCAAATGTGAAGTGTGGGGCTAGGAAATGGTCATGAAACATTTGCACAAGAAAACAACTCCCTCACTTTGTTTTCATGATGAGGAGAGGAGAAGCTACTTGACAAATGCTGGTCATGACACTTGGCAGTGGCTTGACAGATCATCTAAGCCCCTTCAGCACTGTAGTAAGGAGCTTCCCCCACGGACCCCAGAGATTTGACCCTATTTCATCACAGGTGGAACAATGAGACGCCACCTTCACCTTCAGCACGTGTGACCCACAAATGCAGAAGGCCACAGCTTGCCACTGGTCAACTATTGAGACTTTGGGCAATGTTGGACTAGAAGGAGGGGACAGTACCATGTCTCATGCATGGACAGGTACTGCTCTATTGCCTCTGTTTCCATATCAGGTGTGCAAGGAGACCTGCAAACCTCACCGTGGGGACACAGCTTCCCTTCAGGGAACCTTTGGCCAACCTTTGTAAATGGAGGTGATCCAGTCAGGGTAGCACAAGGTGCCCAGATGTCACAGGACTCATGCCATTTAAGAAAGGAAGCATCTCCTAACAGAGTCCTTTCTAATGCTTGCTGATATTAATGATCTAATATTGGGTCTTTTTCCTTCTCATCCTGAGCGGTGGCTGTAACCTTGTGCTCTGAAATTTGGAATGGGAATCATTTCACCTAACGCCGACCCTAAAGTTGGTCATCTGAGGTAGTCAATGGATAGAAATGTCCCCTCCTGGGACCGTTCATCTGTCCCATCTCAGATGCCAGCATGACGGTGGGATGAAATGCCTTCTGAAGGCTCTGGGAGGGGCTCACAGCACAAACTGGGGTTTCGCCAAAACGATTAGATCATTCCTTGCCACTCGGGGTGAGATTGCACAGCAAGGAAGAGCAGGAAGAAAGGACATAAGCCTCGACAGCCTCTGTATCTCCAAATTACACCCAGGGACAGGGAGCTGGGAGAGAAGCAAAGGTAGCTCTGCAAGCCCTGCCCTTTCTCAAGCACCCTGTCCTTCCTTCCCGTTCGCAGTTCAGAAGCACAGGAGATGAAAAATCCCGAAAGAAGACACAAGGACACAAAAAATGTCGCAGGAAAGCCACCAGATGGGGCTCGACACTCGAGAAAATGCTACGCCAGTCACATACGACACTGGTGACACTGGTGTGACATTCCCAGCAGAGCCCGAATGGGGTGGAAATGCCTGTGGATCACCTGCTCTGCCGTGGACACCCCTCCGCCTCCCACTCCCCAACATGCTCAAGGCCACCGCGTGTACTCAGCATTTCCCTGAAAGACCCCAGCCCCAGAAGCTGCAGGATGACACAGGAATCCTGCCTTCCCTTCACGCATGCAAGAAATTAAATAAATGTAGTTTAGCTGGAAAGGCAAAGCTGGGGAGAGTGAGTTGTAATGGCTCAAGTACAAAGCAGAGAAAAGGAGCGTGCAACTGGTTTTTACAGTATCAGTGACACAGGGCTGCCGAAAACCAAGGTGGTGGTGCCCATAAGGTGCTTCCCAAGTGCCTTTGGGCAAAGACAGCATCACCTCTGCCAGAGAGATATTTACCAAATCTGTCCTGTAGTCTTGCATCACCTTCCCTTCCCAGA